TTTTTTTTTTTTTTTTTGCACAGATTCCATTTTGCCAACCAGCTATTCACTTATCTTGAACAAATGTCATTTCAATGTCTAATAAATATATTTGATCTTCAGGACTTAGGTTTAGTAAAATATTTGTGTTATGTGAATAAAATTAGCTGGAGACACTTTTACATGCCTTTAGGAATTTCTTTTTTGAATTTTATTTAAAATCTTTACTTTTTTATTATTGAGTTTATTGGTACATTTTTATTAATACAGTACAGTTACATTCATCATTGGGATCTTGTACCTTTATATGACAGTCTTGGTTCTCATTTTTCCTTTTACCCCTGCCCTCCCTTTACCCCCTCCTCTCTTCCCTATTTACAAATACTTTATTTTCATTTTTTCATATTTTTTGTTTGCTTTTATTTCCTATCCCCTACCCTTCCCACTTCCCCTACACCTTTAGCCCTTTTCTTCCTATTTCATATTGCCTTTTGGAATATTAACAATGAATAAAGCATAATCAGTGATGGTGTGACTGTTCTACAGGCATCAAACCGTGAACTGAGTTAGAATTCTGAGATCTATAATTTGTGCTATCGCAATCGGGGTTGTTGGCTGGGTTTGGGAGTCTCACACGAGAAATGAAGATAGGTAGCAGTCGATCTGGTGTGTCTCCATAGGAATTGTTTCTTTGGGCAACTTCAGGAAGATTCCACTGCATCTTTGTAAGTGGCTTGGTCACTCAGGAATCTCCTTATCCGTGTAAAGATGGAAGAGGTGGAGACACCAGCGAGGCTCAGCACAGTAGTAGTTCAGAGGACAGGGAACCAAAGGTAGGGCGAGAGTCCTGTATTTATTTCCTTGTCCTGCCAGAATAAAATATCTCCTTGATTTTATATATAATTTTATTATACCACAATACCTGTCCTTGTAGCATCCAAAATGAAGGAGATGACGCAGTGTTAAATAATTTTTGGAATCATCAGTTTTTTAAAATACCAAACGTTTTCTGATATTATAATGTTTCCAATTAATACCTGTTGATACACATTTTTTGTATAACCGAGAATGATTTAAACAGTTTGTTAATGAGCAGTATTGGTAGGCAGGTGCAGGAGCCCCAGATCCTGGGAAACTTAAAATAAGTTTTTTCCTCTAAGGAAACTTCCA